CTTTCCCTGGTTGGACATCGTCTGGTTGTAGCAACTGCTGGAAGACATGTTAATATCTATGATTTGAGGAACATGTCTCAACCTGAGCAACGAAGAGAATCTTCATTGAAATATCAAACCAGATGTATTCGCTGTTATCCCAATGGAACAGGTTAACGTCAACTAATAGTTACAACTCAATCATTGATTTTTCCCAAGATGACACACTGATTTCTGTTATGTTTCATAGCCAAGATATTTGTTACCCTTCATACTCAAATAACTATTTTGTACAGGATACGCACTTAGTTCTGTTGAAGGCCGGGTTGCAATGGAATTCTTTGACCTCTCTGAAGCTAGCCAAACAAAAAAGTATCAATTTCTCTGTATTCCTTCATGTTCTCCCCTTCTAATAGTACTGTGATGTGAATATTTTTATTTTTGAACTACTTGTCCACACATATGATAGTATTTCAGTGCACGTGTTCATCAACTTTTACCTGCTAATGACCTCTGTAATCTTCGTGCAGATATGCTTTTAAGTGTCACAGAAAATCAGAAGCCGGAAGGGATATTGTCTATCCGGTAAATGCAATTGCATTCCACCCCATGTAAGTGTTTTAGAGTGCTTTGTCACATTTTCACCTAGATTCATCATTTCCTTAAATAACGAGGCACTCTAAAGATAATTTTGAATTGCTTGTTTCTCTATGTTTTACAGTGTCAAAAGCTGTAGCTTGTAGCATTCATGACTATAAATCATATTAAGAAAATTTTCTTAATAGCTTTGTTGTGGCTTGGAGGTCATGGGTCTAAGGTCTTGTTTGAATAATTTTTTCTATAAATACTTACAGAAAAAAGATATAAAAGTAAAATGAATTGACTTACTGCTATAAGCTAAAATCAATTTATGCTCTCAACTTCTAAAGAAGTTTTCTCATCTAACTTTGAAAGTTGAAGTACATTTTTTGCTTTTAACTTGTGAGAAAAACCCAATTCATTTAATCTTATTTTCTTTTCCCAAGTGCTTGGGGAATTTTTTTATTTTTTATTTTTAATTTCAAAACAGTCTTTCTTCACTTGTGGGGATAAGGTAGTGTACATCTACCCTCCCCAATACTCCACAAAGTGTACACCGAGTCACCCTTCATATATTAAGAAAATTTTCTTGGTTGAGCAGTTATAGTTCATCCAAAGTGGAGGGAATAGATGTATTTTCTTCGATATAGTTCGAGTACAATATATTGAAGTGGTAGATGAATGTTCTGTATTACAAATATACAAAACAATGAAGTACGCACATCTCTTGTTTGAGGTGTGCAGTGTTAGACATTTCTGACAGTAACACTCCTCGACATTTGTCTGACACATGTTAGACATTTCTAATTAGGTGACCAATTAAAAAATTATTTTTCTGTTGGCTTGGATACTAGCCAACACCTTTATATATAATGTGTCGTGTTAAAAAATTATTTTTCTATTGGACACTTGAACCGACACCTCCATGTGGATGGATACACACTTATATTGTTAAAAAAATATTTATTGCTCTTATAGATAATATGTCATGCCTTTTTTGAGCCTTGTTATCATAGAAAAAACATAGAAGGTTGGTTTAAAAAGATACATATGCCATCAATTTAGATCTTTTGTTATGTTACTCATTTCATTTCATGAGAGTCTCTTTTTGTGTATGCATCTTAGTCTCCTGTATTTTAGACATTAGCCATGTCAGATGTTGGTGTTCATGTTGTGTCCAATGTATGTGTTAGAGTGTTTACTTTATAGATCCAGAATCTCTGGTAAATCATTCTTCTAGTGTTCCCTCTCGTTTACTCCTGTCTAATCCCTAAAATTTCAAGAGCTCAAAAGATGATTTGGAATCAGATGGCCTTATTATTAATCTTTGCATGTTAGTATTACCAACTCATGTTGACTTAATCTGCAGATATGGTACATTTGCCACGGGAGGCTGTGATGGGTATGTTAACGTATGGGACGGAAACAATAAGAAGAGACTTTACCAGGTTTTATTCATTATTTCTGAGTAATTTTAGTGACCAGAAACTTCCTCTATGGTAATAAAGTCCTATTCTAAATTACCGTTTTCTCTGCTAGTACTCAAAATACCCAACTAGCGTTGCAGCACTTTCGTTTAGCAGAGATGGACGCCTGTTGGCTGTTGCATCAAGTTACACATTTGAAGAGGGACCTAAACCGTATGCTCTCTCTCTCCCTATTTGTCTGTCTTTCTTATACGTGCTAGTTTTGAATAACTTGTTATTTTCTTTTTACAGCCACGAACAAGATGCTATCTTCGTTCGTAGTGTGAACGAGATTGAGGTCAAGCCGAAACCCAAAGTCTACCCTAATCCTCCAGCGTGATTTCTTCGTTTTTTTTTGTTTTTTTTCCTTCAGTTCTACTGTTTCACTTCCTTCTAGTGAACACCAAAAACTACATGTAAAATGTTGTGAAGAGCTAGGTAGTTGCTAGATACAGGTTTCTGTTAGAAATGGCTTTCCTATATTGTTTGTCTTTATCCCCGTCAAAGTAAATTGAAATTGAAAACATCCTTATGTCAGCTCAGGTGCAAAATATGAATTGAGTGTGCAGGTTTGTTTTGTAACAATGCACTTTGCTTATTTTTCATTTCTTTATTCCCTCCTTTTTTCCTTGGAAGTTCTATTACAGTGTCTCCTTGGATTAAAGAATAAAATAAACTTAAAACTGATAAAGGATAACCAGTAGTGTTGTACTTCTCCCGCAATTTTCGGCACAGTATTAAAAAGAAACTTATCATATTAAGGCCTATATTTGTGGTTGACCAACTAATGGAATCCAGTTAATCCTTTACAACTCAAGATAATATTGGGGTGGACAGATGTATACAATCAATTCAAAATAACTAGTGGTATAATAGTTGCTGGCGAGAATGCGTGACAAAAAGCTTCAAGAATACAATCTTAAACAAAAATTGTGTATGGAGATAATTAATGTTGAAAAAATATGGATACAACTTAGGGTGACTAGACACGTTTAAAAGGACAATGTTAGTCAGGCTGCAATGGTGGCAGGAAATAATTTCGTTTCTTTGTGGTTGGAATGCATTCGTTGTTTTGTTCTTTTTCACTCTTAAGTACCGTTCCTCACGCTAATTGCTTAGAATTGCTTAAAAGTCGCCTGTTAGATTTTGGTGACAAGGACATCTATCTGCTAAGACGCTATTCATTGGACGATATTACTTCCAAACTAAGAAATTCATGTAATATATCTACATATCGTACTTTTACTCCATACATCTTTATTTTGTGATTTGGTTGAAGAGATCTCAACTGAGAAACACGAGATATTTATTAGAAAACAATAAAGGCATAGTTTGATCATATTGAAGCAATACTATATTTGCTTTCTTCACTTAAACGGACGGTTCTAGCTGCATTTTTGCTATGATATCATTATTATGTTTTACTAATTTACAACAACTTGGACCATAAACACACCTTCAAACATTTGTTCTCCCACCTGCTAGCAATTTGACAGTCCCACACAACACATTTTTTCTGATGAAATGCAAAAGTCATGTCTCTGATTGCTAAAACTATAGTGACAAAATACATCAGACATATACCGGGGATTCAAATGAAGATCTAAGCAACAAACTACCTAATAAACAATGATTAGTTGATTACATATAGATATATACATAGACACTCGCTTTTCCTCAAATGACAAGGTTGTATACAGCTAGCTAACTAGCGAGTGAAAAGCCACCTCTTTTCCTTTGTAAATTGTAATATTCAGATACAAAGATATACTACACACGGCATACAAGACCACAACAACTTTCAAAAATGTCAAATGAACACCGAAAACCAGCTATTGACCCCATTACATTCTTATTACCTTCTGTGTTATATCTCCACCCCGTGGAAAATAAAAGGCTGGGAGTAGTGTTAGCATTAAGAGTGAGTTGTCAAATAAGATCAGTTCTACACACGTGTTGTCAGGCAGCTGGAAGTTGGCACGCGAGAAAGTTGTAACATATGTGTTCTTAAGCTACAATCCTTGACCTGCCAGAATTAATAGATACAAAACAACAATTAAGAATATTGATACAGCATTTTAGTATGAGATAGCTTTGAGCAAAGTTACCTGCATAGCTGCTAACGAGGACAAAAACTCCTTGCATTGTTCAAGCAAAAACCTTTCTTTTGAGGTCACCTTTAGGATTTCCGCCACCAAACAGTTAGTTTCTTCCACCTGCTAGGAACCCCATGCTTTTAGATATACTACCAGAAGTGCAACAGAAGCTTATCTGTAACCCAATAGGCTAATTCCCCCCAAGTAGTTTCCTTGAATTGTATGGAACTAATTTATGAGCAAATTAGCCATTGGCCTTGAGCAACTCTTTTCTAAATTAAACAAAGGCTTCAATGGGTTCTAATCAATTAACTTTTGCTTTGGTTGTACACAGCAAAATGGTGTTGAAAGATCCATGTCATTCACCCAACTTTGTTACATTTTCATCATATTAGATGAGCAGATGACCACAGAAAGCAAAACAATATCCTTGATGGTTGCAGAAATGACCCCAGGTAACAATGCATGGATTAGTGCACCCATATTCTTATCCTAGGAATAGTTCAAGGAACAAGGCATCAACAAATTCAAAAGTAAACTTGAAAATTTAAAACAGGTTAGAAAATGCAATTGTCAAGCCACAATGGTATATGAAGCCCAGATACTCCAAAAATGGAAAGGTATCGGTGTTGTACCCATGTCAAATACCAATACTCCTCGGATGCTACTGGATACGTATCCAAGGACCAAAAAGTATCTAATTTTTTTATATTTATTTTTAACCTTTTTTTTCCTTGCATACTTTCCAAATACTAATTTCTTATTAGTCACTTCTAGATACATATCAGAAAAGCATCCAAAAAATTTGCCTTAAGTTTTTTGTACAATCATGTTTTTTATCATGCTGTGAAAGGAATTTGAGTACATACTCCCTTATTCATTCTTTGAAGAAGAAAAAATGGACCAAAAAGGGTAGAGATTTGATTTAAGTGCATTTCAACCTTCAACTTTTGCCTATGAAAGATGGAGTATAAAAAAGGAGACTAGGTTGAGACATTAGTAGAGGTATACATCACACACTTGATGATGATGCTAGACTTCTTAAATTGGCAGAATTCTCTCTTGATGAACCAAACTTTGAAACTATGTTTTTTTCTAGATGAAGGTACCAGGAGAGAAGAGAGTAATACAATTAGCATTAGACAATAATTTAGTAATGATGCTTTTGAGTCAGGCTATTATTGTATAGAGCCAATATTAGCTTTAAGTTCTACCAAAGATGTTTTTATTAATATAGTTAAATTGATATGGGCAAAAACTGTATTTTCTGTTGTGATTACAAATATCTTTTTTTTTTGTGATTACTAATTTTGGTGCTCGCAGACTTAAAATCCAAGGATTTAGGGTTTTTTGTCAAAAAAATTAGAAAAGTATTTACAATTAATTTATGCTAGAATGCCTCAATTGCCCAGACACATTCAAACAAAAAAACCAACTATCAAACAGAAGTCCAAAAAATAAATTATACATATCTCAGTTTCATGCAGACATTGCATGTATAAAATGACAATTAAAAGAGCAGTGCATCATAGGAGAAAAAAAAGGATATAAAAATTCACCTTTGAAGAAAGAGGTAACTGTTCTTGA